ACACTTGAATTAAGTTCCGAATTTTATAAATTGTAAACAATTAGTACCAATTTTCTTCGTTTCTATAGTTCAATATGCATCTTGCTTTAACACAATAAACCAAATTATTCATTAAAACCCTAATAAACACCTTATATTGCTGTTTACATTAGGTACTAGGTACCATTAAGTTATAGTAGGTTTTATTTTCTTAGGAGCTTGTGGGATCGTCTGCAAAATATGAAATTTTGTTATTTATTCGGCACCTATTTGGATATGTATAAATAAACAATCTTTTGTCTTCTAGTCGTAGTTTATTTGAAAGTTTTCAATTTTATTTGCATGCTTAACGTGTTAGCTTACTGCGCATATCCGATTTTTGGATTAGGTGAAGGCATTCGATTTTCAAAAAGTTTTTGAATGTCCTAGGCCGCTCCTTTGGTCTGGTGATCGCCAATTCGCAAGACTTTTTTTAAAGGGGGAAAATCATAGAATGGCTGCTCCCGCCTAGGTGAGGCAGGTGGGTATGTCAGACTCTTACTGACTAAAAACCACCCCGTTCCTTCACCTGCATGTCCAGCCGGAGCCCCGGTAACCCGTTAGGTTCTTCGCGACTCCGAATCGGCATCAACCCTGTTGGGCCCCATCCGTGGTGGTTTGATGGCTCTTTGAGGCGCGCACGGAACGCGACGCGCCGTATGCTCGGGTCTGTTTCTGGTCGGACGGGGAGCCACCCATGCTCGTCGTTAGCAGGCCCGCGCTTACGGTGGCTGGAGATCGTCTCACGATCCCCGACGCCCGGTGTTTCCTTCGCGATGACTGGGTTGCGAGGAGGCAGCGCTTCGCTGCCTCACGCGTCCCACCTCCTCCTTAGCTAGCATAACTGTTTCGCAAAAGGAGGAGACGGCATTACAGTCCCCCTCGCTGCGCATCATTACCTGCAATAGACCCGGACGCGAGAGGTCGCCATCGTTGATCGGCGGTTCTCAACCCATGTAGGGCATTCCGCTACAGTGTGTTCCACGGTGTCCTCAGGGCGGTCCTCGCAGTGATGACACCCGGGCGTTTCCTCCCGCTCCATCAGACACAGGTACCTCCCGAAACTTCCATGTCCGGTGAGGACCTGCGTCAGGCGGTAGGTGAGGACGCCGTAGCGTCTCCCAAGCCACTCCTCAAAGAGGGGAATTACCGCTGCAATGGCAGTGAGCCCAAATTCGCAAGTCTTAGGGTGTAATTTGTAAGCTAGAACATTGTCATTCCATTAAAAAGAAATGACTAAACTAATGGATCAAATATCTATATTTAAACCCCATATAGTGACGATATCTACATATTTGAAAGCTAACCATTTAAATCAAGGGTTGATCACCACAAATCCGTGTTTTGTCATAAATAATTTGGATAACATACCACTTTCGATCGAGGTTTAGCCAGCAGCATATAAAAAACACATTTAAAGGATTTTCGACTTTACTGCGAAAACATAGTGACCAATATTTACAATGTTTCTGCACAGCGCTTGTAATTAAAGTGGTTATCTATACGCCCAACGTAGGGAGCAAAAGGCGTTAACTACTTTATTCTCTCTTTTTGTATTTTCTCCTAACTATCTATCCACCTATTTTCAATACACCAGTGCAAACCACAGTAAATATCTTCCCTCTTCCAACAATCGCCATCTACAGCGTGTCAGTCATCGCACTGATTTTGTTCATTCTTCTTTCTTCATACAATCTGTTATTCTGTGGAATGCACTACCCACGGATTTCAGGACGGCGTCCAGTCGTTTAGCTTTTAAGATTAAAGTTCGGGAGCATCTTCTTCAACAATTGGTAGATCCATTTCAAACCTAAATCTCTTTTAACTCGTCGAGTACCGGTTTTGTAGACACAATCGGTGACCGCAATCTATTGTTCTATAATTGTGTCTATACTGACGGTACTCGACGAGTTAATTTAATATTTTGTATTACCTATCTATTATATATATATATTTCTATATATGTATTTATTATTTATATAATTACTTTAATATTGTATACATAATTATTGTTATATGTAAGTATAAGTTTTCAAATTTACCTATATGTATAGTATTTATTGAATATTATGATTGTGAGACTTGTTATTTATTATACTGGTACAATGCCTATTTATAAAGGTTTAAATCACCTGCTACTTTCATCTCTGCACTGCTTAAAGGTTGACTAGGAGACAATGCCTAAGGCATTAAGTCCACCTGTACACGCTTGGTGTATAAAGTTGATAATAAATAATAAATAAAATATCACCTACTAGTAGATACTGGTCTAATTCATTGAGACCCTCAAAGAAATATATTTTTTAGAAAAAAAATAATGAAAATGTGTTATAGACAGAAACTACATTTATTTTAAAAATATAATTAAAAAGTAAAAGTTTTCTTGAAAGATTTTTTTTTCTTCATGTACCTACTTCGTTTACGGCTTTATCACTGAAAAGAAAAAAACACATTTAGTAATTTTATATCTGCAACTACATTCGGCGGCATAAATATGCATTAACCGCTTGAATGCACCGATATGAGACACAATAGAAAATACATTGTGTCTCGCTTGGATCCACGTTTAGACACACGACGGGTTAACATTAATGAATAACAGTTAACTTTTGAAACTAAACACATTAAACAATAATTTAACTAAGAATTGTATTGTGAACCCGATTGAAAAAGAGCAACCTATGGAGTTTCTGGCTCGTTCTTCTCCATGGGATTCTACACTTTGGAACGAGCAAATAGCTTCACTATGGGACTGACTTACAGAATGATAACACCTAGAGATGTATTTAAGTAACGGATATATTTAAGTGTGGAAGAGCCATGCTTCGGCACGAATGGGCTGGCTCGACCGGAGTGATACCACGACCTTACTGAAAACCGACGTGAAACAACGCTTGCGTTATGTTTCGTCGTGTGAGTGAGTTTACCGGAGGCCCAATTATCCCTAGTCCCCGTCTCCCGAATCCCCGAATCCTCCACAATCCTCAAATTCCCAATTACTAAAAGGCCGGTAACGCACTTATAACGCCTTGGTGTTTCGAGTGTCCATGGGTGGCGTCGATTGCTTACCATCAGGTCATCTGTCTGCTCGTTTACCGGCTTATGCTACAAAAAAAAAAAACAAAAAAAAATAGACCGACTTATTTTGTTGGTCAAAACACCTTCCTACTAGGCTATTCTGTAACTGCCAATTCGAACTTTCAACCCGGCAACCACGATCGAGTTCACTTCTATCTTTCGAATAGGAAGTTATAAAAATACCTAGTCGGTAAGACCTCGTGCTTAATATAGTAATATAAACACACGGCAGCGATCAAAACTCTAAACGTCATATAACATAGCTACTCACATGTGGAATCAAACATTGCTTTCCATTCTTTCTCGGTATAGTCGGCGAATTGGTTAATACCGGAAATGGCGGTTTTGCTCTCCTCGTTCAACTTATTGATCTCCTTCAAGGTCTCGACAAACGCTTTAAAATGCACTTGTTTGTCGTTTTCGTCCTTGTACTCCTTTCGGTAGTCCTTTATGTATTGTTCGAAGATTTCATCAGCCTTTTCTACGTCGTAATGCTTTTGGGGAGGACTGTCAGTAGGCGCCGAGCTCGCCATTGCGACCACCACGAGAATCAACACGACACTGACGGAACGCATCGTTAACGTGACCGGGAACTTATTTCTTCTATAACAAAGTTGCAATGTACTGCGCGCTCACGCTCGATGACTAAATTATTATTTCACTAGCTTTTACCCGCGGCTTCGCTCGCGTCACAAAAAGATAAAAAGAAGCCTATGTGACTATCCATCCCTTCAACTACCTTCAGTTAAAAAATCCGATTATTCCGAACCTGACCCGCAAACCTGACCCGGTGGTGGGTTACGTTAGGAATTTGAAAAAATAATTGATATTTATTCCGAACGTAACCCTATTCCTAACCTGACCCGACGTATCGTTCCTATCATTACCCGAATTGCGAAGTAGGTAGGTTTTCCTCTCCCCAGTGTATGAAAACAACAAAATTTAGATTTATTAAATAATATTAAGTATTTTGGGCATCCCGAAACATTTGGTTAGGTTAGGTTAGAACTGCGACCCTCACAAGGCGCGAGCACCGCGTGCGTCCGCGTGCCGCGGCCACGGCCGCCGAGCGCTATATCATTTACTGCTTTTCAAATCTTTTCATACACTGGGGAGAGGAAAACCTACCTACTTCGCAATTCGGGTAATGATAGGAACGATACGTCGGGTCAGGTTAGGAATAGGGTTACGTTCAGAATGAATATCAATTATTTTTTCAAATTCCTAACCTAACCCACCACGGTCAGGTTTGGGGGTCAGTTTCGGAATAATCCAAAAAATCACGTTAAGTACCTCCGTTTTGCCGTTTAAGACAGGCAAACAAACAAATAGCTGTTCGCTCGCGTGGGATTCGGTTATATCGAGCTTTTTAGATTTTTCCGTGGGAATGAGAAGTTCTGCCGCGGTAAAGCCTTGCTTTTCCAGGACTCAAACTAACTTTTATACCAAATTTCTTTAAAATCCGTTCAGCCGTTTAGCGTGAAAGAACAACAGAAGGAGTTATTTTCGCATTACCACAAATACCATCCTCCCATTTTGATTTAAAAGATTTCTATTTCCTATAAGGGTTTCATTTGCAATGTTAAACCAAAACTAAGTGGTAAACTATATTATACGTTTTATTATCGAAAACTTAACTACTTAGAAATAAACCACTTCACTAATCTAACCAAACTAATATACAGCTATTGTATCAATCAACGTAAACAATGAACAAAGCGATTTAAAACGACGAAAAAAAATCAACTTCTTTGGAAAATAATTATAAATAAAATAACACTTTATGACTTGACTAATCAAACCTACAGACACAGAGCGAACGAATAATAATAGTGCTAGATGCGTACACCGAAATATACCTGTTTCGGAAGCTCAGAACCTATACTTTCGCCGGTAACGAAACCATAGCGCCATCTAACTCGATCCTGACGCCATCTATCGAGCATTGAAACAACAGCGTACAATATATTTGCTAATTGTTGAGTATTGTTGCCACTATGATTTCGTGTACCTTTAACAACCTAAAATACGCAATTTAATGTAAAATGGTTGGAACCAAAATTTAAAAGCGAAAACTACTTAAAAAAAACAACACTACCCCGTTTTATAAGTCGCGGAGAACCTAACGGGTAACCGGGGCTCCGGCTCGACGTGCAGGAGAAGGAACGGGGTGGTTTTTAGTCAGTAAGAGTCTGACACTCCCTCCCGCCTCACCCAGGCGGGGGCAGTCATTCGATGATTTTCCCCCCTTAAAAAAAAATAAAAAAAAAAAAAAACCCCGTTTTATAAACACTCAGCGTCATCTATCGCCAAGTAGCGTAACTATTACACAACGTTGCCACGTTGTGTTTTTTAAGTATTTTTACATATAAAACAGCAAATAAATGAGTCGAAAAGTGCACCGAATAAGTGTAGCTTAACACTAAATAGCGCTATAGATTAAAGCGTGAAATTTATTTCAAATTAGTAGGTAATTAGTTGAATTATTTTAAATGGCATACAGCGCCATCTATACGAATTCATACAGCACCAACTATACTAATATTTTTGTTTTCCCTCGGGAATATCACATTTTTCCGGGATAAGAAGTAGGTACCCTATGATTTAATCTGGACTTCTAACTTTACGTGTGCAAAATTACAAAGCAATCGGCTTAGTAGTTACGGCGTGAAAGCAGAACAAACAAACAAACAAACTCACTTTCAGATATATAATACTAGTATAATATAATATTATCCTTACTAATATAGCTGGAACTTACTACACCAAGAGACACAACAACGTGGTGCAGTACGTGTACTGGACCCTCCTCAAAAAGCACAAAATGGAAACTACCAGCTTATGGTGGAAGGAACACCTCATTCAACCGCAAGTCAAAGAAAATAATTCAGCAAAAATAATGTGGGAAATTCCAGTTCAGACAGATGTCACAGTTACACACAATAGACCAGATATTATTTACATTAACAAAACTGATAATAAAACATATTTAATAGACATAACAATACCATCAGACTACAATATAGGTGCTAAAGAAATAGAAAAATTAAGTAAATATCATCTTTTACAAAGAGAAGTAACCCGTTTATGAAAAACACACGCTCAAGTCATACCCATAGTCATAGGAGCGTCCGGAATGGTAGCTAAAAGTATTCACAAATATTGCGCACAGTTAGACTCCAACATTAACATCCACATCATGCAAAAACAGGCAGCTAGTCACACAACCACCATCCTAAGTAAAGTCTTAGGGAATACTATTTATGTAGACAGGGACCGCGATTCTCCTCTTCCTTGAGGGTCTCAGGGCGGGAGGATTGCGAAATACCGACTCTTACGAGTCGAGATGTAAGACATTACACACATATATACTATATATATATGTATATATATTATATAATATAGTAAGTATAGTATAGTATATACACATACAGTATAGTAAGGATTACTAGGTGACCTACCAAACTTCGTACCGCCTCAAGAAATATTTTTTCACCTTTTAAAGCTTCCTTGGACTTCCACAAATAGTTCAAGACTAAAATTAGCCAAATCAATTTAACCATTCTCGAGTTTTAGCGAGACTAACGAACAGCAATTGATTTTCTACACTAATAGTATAAAGAGGAAAGATTTGACTTTTTGTTTGTTTGTTTGAATGAATGGCATCTCCTCCGCAACTACCGGACCGATTTCAAACATTCTTGTACCGTTGGTATCCTACATTATCGATGATGAACATAGGCTATATTTAATAAAAGAGAAAAATGGAACTGTGTGAATTATATATGTCGAAGGAAGCTGGGAGTTTCATTGCATAACGCACATTAATTTTTGTTTGATTATATTCACTTTTTAAAATGCCTAAATTAATTTAAAATTGATTTGTCACACTTGAAAGTCTTAATTTGATTTATTAATAATTCTAATTTGACTTCCTACGTAACGACCAATCAGAACAGAGCACGCGTCTCGAGCGGTGTCGAGGCGCCATCTCACTGATAAAAAGAGAGACAGTTTTGGCGGGAGAGCATGAATTAGCTATCGGTCGGGTTGGATCGTTTATATGATTTTACTGTAAGATCCGGTGGCGGGAGAAGTCATTGGATGATTTTCCCCACTAAAAAAAAAAGTCCTATTTGTGTATCTGCGGATATCCTGATGCAAAATGTTTGACTAGGTAATTCCAAAATAGACTGAATAATTACTGATGATCGATACATTCTTACAACTCAAACACATAAGCCCTTATTGTGAATTTTATTAATAATGTAAACTGCAGGTTTTCCTCTATAACGTATTTTTGCTCAGTAATCTCGTTGATAGAAACATCACATGAATCTTTACTACATGCAGCGCCTGATAGGTTCAATTAGCTAGTTGTTGCATAATTCATACTCTGTGGTAGCATACTTTGGATAGTTTCGAAAATGTTAATTTAAAAATAATTGGTTGAACGATGTGATTCTGTAACATACCTACCAATTCAATATAGAAGTTCACATGAGGAAAAGAACTTATTTCGAAAGTAAACACATTCGAATTTATTTCCCTAGTCGAAGTTTCGAGTATCACTTCGCTTCTTTAGATTGATATGCATCTTGACACAACTAACCAAATTATTCATTAAATCCTTATAATCCTTAATTTTGTATTAGGTACCATGAAGCTATAATAGGTACCTATATTATTTTGTTAGGAGTTTGTGGAATCATCTTCGAACCTATCAATGGGTGGGTGACCTATTAGAAGGTATACAGAGTCGTTGTTTGTAAACGCATTTTTTTCTTTTTAGGTAGGAAGCTACAGAGATCCTTTGTATTAAGTAGGGGTTTAGCACTTATGTGGATTATCCACATATGTAGATGCCACTCTCCCTAAATAACACATCTCACACAATCACTAAATAAACACTAGGTAGCTACTGTTAACCGTTCTCGAACGCCTCAAATTCGCTTATAAATAATATACTTCGTCATCATCAGACCCTTAATGACAGTTCCACTGTCTATGTGTAAAGTTCTCATCAATAAGTTAATTATGCTCGAATCCAAGGTAGTAACTGTAAATCGTTAAGTTCTCCCGACTGTCTGTTGGTTCCATCATCAGATTGACTCCAGTCCAGAACTCCAGACCCTTATAAAATTGTAGTACTTAAAAATATTTATTACAAAATATAACAGATACATCACTTTTCGAAAGTTTCCCTCGCTTTCCCTAAGGTAAGATTAGCACATATGTTTATCAACCCAGATTTGCTTATATGACTTCACATTGTCAAACACCAAGCGGTCACCGGTGACCGCAACCTATTGTTCTTTAATTGTGTCTATAATGACGGTGCTCAACGAGCTAAAAGTTTTTTTTCATAAACAATGGTTCTCGAGACCTTCATTATTTATGTAAAAGACAACACCTATACAAATTAAACGTTCCCAAATAAAAATATCTTCACAAAACATGTTTCTAAACAATTTCATAATAGGTCTGTTATGTACCTTTTTGTCTAAACCTCTTCAGTCTTGTTTATTTACGGTATACACGGTTTTTCTCAGAAATTTTTATATTTTACTCGTTGCTCGCGTAACTCGGATGCCTCTCTTCATGACGTTAATCTAGACAAGTTACTTTGCAAAATATGAAATTTTGTTATTTATTCGGCACCTGGTTGGTTATGTATAAATAAACAATCTCTTGTCTTCTAGTCGTAGTTTATTTGAAAGTTTTCAGTTTTATTTGCATGCATAATGTGTTATGGACGAAAGGAAATAAGTAAACTCCCTGCGATAGAATACTGCGTACATCCGATTCTTTGATTAGGTGAAGGCATTCGATTTTCAAAAAGTTTTTGAAAGTCCTTGGCCGCTCCTTTGGTCTGTTGACTGCTAATTCGCAAGTCTTAGGGTGTAATTTATAAGCCAGAACAATGCCATTCCATTAAAAAAATATCACTAAACTAATGGGTATGGAACTATCGAATATCGATATTTAAACTATTTAGTGACGATATCTACATATTTGAAAGCCAACCATTTAAATCAAGGGTTGATCACCACAAATCCGTGTTTTGTCATAAATAATTTGGATAACCTTCATTATGATGAAGGTTATCCAAATTATTTATCTGTGGTATGCCACAGTCGTATGATCCGATCGCGGTTTAGCCAGCAGCATATCAAAAACACATTTAAAGGATTTTCGACTTTACTGCCCTGCCCACCATACACTAAAGTGCAGTAACAGCAAAATCACGATTTCGAGTAAAACGCATTTAAAGTTAAGAATTGATTTTAAAAAATCAACAGAATGTATAAGCAAAAAAATTTGAATGCAGAAAGGTTGTAAAGGCATAGGTTCACACGTTAAAGCAATAAAAAAATATATCTTAATAACTGAATTTATTATGGCCATTTATTCTTTTTGGTGCCTATTACTGCATAGCCTTTTTTGTAAAAAATACCATTTTAAACTTAGTAAAATGCAGCAAAAAGCCCTATTACTGCGTTTGGATCAGTTATTTTGTCAAGAAACCCAACTAACATGCAGTAAGGTCAAAAAAATACTGCATTTTAGTTAGTTTTTTAAGAAAAAAGTGTTCAATTTACTAGTGCAGTAAGAAAAATAGCTAGTTCACATTTTAAAGACCGTTTATTTCTTATTATTTAATCACAATAATTCAACTCACTTATGTAAAATTTACATACCAAAAATAAAAAAAAA